TTTGCCATAGCAGATGGGGTGTCACAGGTCCAGAGAAGGGAACGGAGCTGGGAAGGGTCTGGAGCAGCAGGAGCGTCTGAGGGAGCTGGGGGGGCTCATCCTGGAGAAAAGGAGGCTCAGGGGGGACCTTCTGGCTCTGCAACTCCCTGACAGGAGAGGGGAGCCGGGGGGGATCGGGCTCTGCTGCCAGGGAACAAGGGACATGATGAGAGGAAACGGCCTCAAGCTGTGCCAGGGGAGGTTTAGGTTAGATATTAGGGAAAATTTCTTCACCGAGAGGGTTTATTAAGCATAAGAACAGGCTGCCCAGGGTAGTGGTGGAGTCGCCATCCCTGGAGGGCATTAAAAGCTGTGTAGATGTGGCACTGAGGGACATGGTAGGCTTGGCAGTGTTAGTTTTATAGTGGGACTTGATGACCTTTAAGCACTTTTCCAAACTCAATGATACTATAATTTGTTGGTTTGTGGCTGCAATATCTATCATCCCAAAAGCATGAAGCCCTTCACTTCAACAAAAAAATAAATTGGTCTAAGAGCTTTGAAGTTCTTTGAGCTGCTGAGCCCTCAAATCCAAAGCTGTCTTTCACCCCATTATCTGTGTTCCTGCATTCATGACCGAGGCTGAACCAAATGAAGGAAGATAGACTACATTTGTAATGGGATTAATGGAGATTTTAATGGATAATTTATGGCTGATCAAATGTATTCGAATGGGATGCTGAACCAAAATGTTCTAGCAGACATATTTAAAGAAAAATAATAATGACAAAAAACTTTCATTTCCATTTATAATCTACCTTTACATGACCTTAATTCAGTTAGTTTATGCAATATTCATAGCAGCAAAAAATCTTCCCTATATCTTGCTTAAATAGTTCCACTGTAAGCCTGAGTGGAAGCTAAAAGGAAATAGTAAAAATTAATAAAGTGTTTTAAAACATTCACAGGGAAATTCAAAGGGCTCAGAATCTGATCTTTTTCCATCACTTCAATTTTGAAAAATTGTTCTGGTTTGGCAGAACATCCTGGTTTTTATACATGTATATATATTTCCCCATCCAGAAAATAAGAAAACTTTCATTCTTATCTTTGTTTTTTTGAACATAAGTTGATCATGATCAGTTTTCATATCACAACATTGTTAAAGCAACTCTAAGCACACAATATTTTTTTCATGATAAAGTCATAAAAACAAGCATTCTAGGGATGTTGAATTTAACAGTCTGAAACTGCAGTTTAGAAAAATGGTTTTTTCTTTGAAAAAATTAAAATAGTGTCACATAAAAGTTACAGTTTGCAGTCTCCTTTCAAAGACATTGTAAACATTTTGTGTTATATAGAATAAAACTAAACTTTCCTCTGTTGCTCTTGAACCTGTCACAATATTTTATAAATATCCTCAACTTCATTTAAGTGATTGCAGCCTAGACGATGTCTGTGAAAATGAGACAGTTTAGATAATTGAGAAACTGGCCTTGAGCCTTTGATTAACACCATATATTCTTCAGTTGATTTAATCTTTTCTGTACTGGTATTTAGAGTGTGATTATGACCACAGTGCTGAGCATAGAATATCTTGAGTTGGAAGGGTCTCACTGGGATCATCAAAGTCCAGCTCCTGGCCCTGCACAGGATAGCCCTGGCATGACCAACTCTATGAGGAGGAATCCATTTGCAAGGCAGATGTTTTTCCCAGTGTTTTGTTTTGCCAAGGAAGAGAGTAAGCTCAAAATCATGACAATTGTTGTAAGTTTGTTGGCATTAGATAAGTCATCACGGGATGAAGATACAGAGCTAAGAATCTTATTTTCTTGTCATTTTCCTGCGTTGTAAGCTTTTATTGGAGAACACTCTGCACTATCCATCCATAAGTCTTTGGAAAACTTCGGTTGGCTTCAGAGAGTAGAGAAAAAATCCAACATGTGCTTCAAGGATAATCAAATTTCTAAAAAAAAAAAAAAAAATAAAAATCTGTGGAAATCAAGACCTGGAGAAATAAATAAAAACTATCTGAATTATTATCCTTTTCAGGCTAGAAGAAAGCAGACCCCAATGACTGACTGCACAGTTGTCATTCCCACATCCACACTGACACACAGTCATGGCATTCCTCTTTTAACTGGGCATCCCGGGACCTGACTCCTTCAGGGGGAAAGGAGACTCTGGAAAAAGTGTGAGAAGCTGAATTATGGATAGGTAGGGAAAATTTAGAGGATACTCTACCTGACTCCATAGGAAACTGGATTCATGCTGCTCATGAAAGAAGTTGTTGGCTGGAAGTTTCCACAAGAGGAAAGAATAATCCTGCAGGTCCCGCTCCACAGGGGGAGGCCAGGATAATTCCCGCCTGGCTTGCTACTTCCCAGCCATCAGAGCCCTGGGAAAAAAGAGACTTTGTTTTGATTTTTGCAGATTTTTAATTAAAGTGTTTATCATTCCACTGAAGATAAGAAGAAGTGCACAGAGTGATGGGATTTTTTTCTTCTTATTCTTATTTATTTTTCTTCAGTGCTTCCTCCCTTGTGAGTAGTACTACTTCAAGTGAAATAAAATTTCCCCCTTGGTCAAACACACTGGAATTTTGTTGGAAACAAAGCATCTGAGGTTGTTTCCATCTTATTTCTTTCTCTCTAAATGGTTTGCCCATACACTTTAAGAAGGCAATCCCTTTCATGTTGCATAGAACATCCTCACTGGCAGCTACAGTGTGTGCACTTTATTAGAGCATTTTTTCCCCCTAGATATAATGGCACCAATTAAATTACCTTGCAGCCTGACCTTAATCTGGCAGGAATGATTATTCCATGAAACAGTTAGGGCTCTAATTGACATGAAGTGCCTGCAAAATATGTCTTTTGCAGCAGACCCTGTCAAAGTCACATTGATATGCTAATACCTATAGCTGGCAGAATCACTTCATAAAGAGAGACATTGAAAATTGAATTATTTCAATTTCAGTACCTAGGAATCTAGTGATCTGTCTGTATATGGAACTAAGTAGGTGCAGTACTTTATATGGGTAAACAGCTGTACTAGGGCGTTGCTATGGAAACTGCTTGACTCATGACAATTGTGTTAGTGATGAAGTCATTAGTGGTGTGAAATGTACTTTGAGGTTGTCAAGTGTACACTCCAGGAATATTTCAACAGTATTACTGGAGCCTTTTCATTTGCATAATTTGGGCTTTCACATGTGATCTCGTTACGGTGCAGAGAAACGCCACGTAACATCCACGGCATGGCTGTGCTCAGGTTGTTCTGGTGTGGCTCTGCAGCAAAATGGAATTGGTTCATGCATGTAGGATAAAGCTCCCTCTGTAACAGAACCTTCCTTTCCTTGTTTTGTTTTGTTTTGGTTTTTTTGGGTTTTTTTTGGTTGGTTGGTTTTTTTGTGGGTTTTTGTTGGGTTTTTTTTTTCAAATAAAAAATAGTTTTGAGGCATAGCACTCACTCTTCAAAGAATTATCTGCTTAAACTTTTATGGTGCCAAGTTGACTTTGATAGTCTGGACCTCTGTTTCTTGTTTTCACTACAACAGCTCCAGGTTTACCCCAGAGAAAGCACAAGTAGGTTCAGGATCATAGGGAGCTCCTTTTTCCTCATCTTAGCTTTTCACTATTTATCACAGTTAGTGTGATTTCCTATGCTATAAAGCTGAATGATGAATCCCAGGACTTCTCTTGGAGTCATATGCCCTTTCTTCTAGTTCTGAGTGTTTCAGACTGTGGAATGCTCTTTTTTTCTACTGGCAGGGGGATACAAAGAAGACCTTACCTGGGCTTTGACAAGCTGTCTGAAGGGACTGCTGTAGTTTTCATGTGCCCTCTGGCAGTAGGGTGCCTGGTAATGCTGCAATGTTTATTCCTTTACATGTTCTGCCCTTCTTCTGGGCTCTCCCTGAGCAAGCAGGCAAGGAGGAAGCACAAATTGTAGTTCTGCTTGATGGAGGGACATCACTCTGCCATGACAGTCACCTATCAGGCCCATTTCCAGAGGAATTCTAGTGGTTCCCCGGGTGATGTGGACCCAGAGGATGTTCAGACACTGGAACAGACTCCCCAGAGCAGTGGTCATGGCTCCAAGCTTGGCAGAGTACAAGGAGTGTTTGGACAATGCTCTCAGGCACATGGTGGGATCCTTGAGCCTGTCCTGTTCAGGGCCAGGAGCTGGACTCAGTGACCTTTTCAACTCGGAATATTCTCTAACTCTATAAATCTATGAATTAACAAAAAAAAAAAAAAGGGAAAGAGGGCCTATTTAGTCTACATGCACACATATAAGTATACACACACACACACAGATGATGCATAAGATGTCACCAGCAGCAGGAGATCAATGCAAGAACTCAAGATTGTCACCAAGATAAGTTAGCAGCCTGCTAATACCAGAGCTCGTGAGTTGATCTTATTTCTCAACAGTGTCTGATCTACTGAAATGCAATCTAATGCTGTATGTTCACTCTATATGTTCAGCCTAATACTGTATAATCACCAGCCTCTTATGTATTAATTACAGCTTAGCTTTACAATTGGGATGAGCAGAAAAGTAAGCATGAAATCAAAGCTGGATTTGATTAGCATACTTTGACAGGATCTTTACTAGTCAAGGGTATCTTTAATATTGTATTTATAGTGTGTGCATCTGTGTGTGAGGTGGTGGAAGAGACATTTCAGAAGAGACATGGTAGCGTAATAACAAACTATTGCAAATCATTACCAATTTGAAGAGATTTGAGCTATTGGTAGAGTCCAATGTCTTTCTGAATCAATTTGTTTTCTTGTCCAGTGTCCTCCATTCTACTTGGAAAAAAAAAAAAAAAAAGAAAATCTGTTTTTCTCCTTGGAAACAAATATTATTTCTTTTAATGATGACAAAAAAATTCATCTTTCTATTTTCTGAAAATTTAAGATGATCTGTTGGTGTGGCTAAGCTAATGGAAAAGTGAATAGGACAAACAGACAAGACTCTCATAGTTTTGCACAACCAGTCCATATTAAGGAAAGAGATTATACATCAAACTTCATGTTGAAATCCTCTATTTCTTTCAAATCTTGTTCATGAAGTCATATTTCACACTTTTGTAGTTGTTTTGTTTTGTTTTGTTTTTTTCTCTGATCCACTCCACTGATCCCTTTGGAGTTTAATATTTTGGACCAGCCAGGATAAAAGACTTTGCATAATTGATCCCCAAATTAGCTTCCTTCCATTGCAATATGGGAAAGCTGAAAGCATCCTCTGAAAATTGGCTGGAGAAATTAAACATATCTTCATACTAAACTATGAACAAAAAAGGTGCCATTTTGGCATTATTCTTTCTGTAATTCCTCCATATGCTTTCTGCAACAAATTGTTTACCTTCTTTTTTTAGCAACAACTACACAGATAATTAAACATCAGAGTCCTATACCAACACAAGTAGTTAGTTGGATTTGAGACCATGAACTAGATCTTTAGGTACAGCATGGCCACCCATCAGCCCTAAAGGCAGTTTAGCCTTGAGAACCTCTCCGTGTGGGGATGTGTGGTTTAGAGGGAGCTGCTATGAACAGCCAGGCTCCAAATCCGCTGTCCTGGGAGGGAGATCCTAGAAGTCCATGGTGCCTGCATGCTCACACAAACAGGGAATGCTTCCAAGCTATCCAGACCCTACCATCAGGGATAAAGTGATTAGGAGATTGAATTTGCCTGGCCTAAAGCTGGCTGTAAACCGCATTTATCTTCTGCACATTTGAAATTGCAATGTATAGGCTCTAGGCCATGGCTTGGTTAGTGGTTTACGTCTGAGTTGTGGTTGGTCCCAAAAAAGTTTTCATCACGGAAGATTGCACATGTGAAAAAAACACTCCTACTTAGGTCTCAGTTTCTGGAGAAAATGACATCTCCATATTCATTGCTCGTGCAGTGGCCCCATATTCACTGCTTCAGCTGGAAGCTGAAGTCTCTTGTCATCATGAAGGGGTAAAACTGACTTACTTACTTTTGGCCCCACGTTCTGAATTAAAGAAACATAAGGGAGGGAGGAGGGGAGGAAAAGTAGGTTTGAGCATCTTCTACTGTTCATCTGGCCTTTCAGATGGACTGAGCAAGATGTCAGGGGACGTTTTCCATCACAGGATGCTGTGGAAAACCTCTGGTGCAAACCAGAGAGCCTTGGTGCTATTTTTGTGTGACTAACACACCCCGTGTGAACTGAACTTACTTGGCAGCGTCTGCTCCTTAGACGGGTGCATTGGGATCTGCTACAGGTTCTTGCTTGGCACAGATTCACTCAGGCAACACCACCCTCAAAGTCACATTTTTTGCCTCACAGGCATAAATGTAAACTCCTGCACTGGAGCCCAGTGGCAGGGGGGATTTAGATACTCCATCTCTCCTCTCTTCCAGCCATAATTGGCATTTCTCGCAAAAGCTTTACATCATTTTAATTCATTGTTGGTCATGCACTGATGATTTTCTGGTCGTTTTGAATCCGGCTTTGGTTTAAGCACAGCAACAAACCAGGGTTCAGCAAAGGGGAGAGATGGTATGTAAAAGGGAGAGAGACTATGTTGTGATGGACAAATAAGGGAAGCACTCCAAGCTAAAGACTTCAGGCAGGTATGAAATGACACGTCTGGCAGGGTTTATTTTTCAGGCTTCCCCATCAATGAAAACCTGATGGGTGAGTGGAAGTGAGCAGGGAGAAGCTTGATCATCTTTGTTCAGTCCTCCAGAGGAAAGTTCCCCACAGCACTGATGTGTTTTGTTTTTTTTCTCCATAGAAGAAGCAGCAGCAGAATGTTAACAAGCTTCATTTTCCGTTCCCAACAACGAGGAAGCGACCTTTGCCCGCTTCCCTGGCTGTTTGTGTTCTTGATGCTGATAGAGCCAGATTTTCATAAGACAGACCTGGGAAATTTTCATGGCAACTGCACTGTTGCAAACCAATTAGCAAGCCAGCTTGATAGGGTAAGGTTGTGGAGATGCCCATGGCTGCTTTAATAAAGTTTCTTGTGTATCAGTATGATACTATTGATTTTTCTCCCTTTGGACGAAAAGACTAAAGTTCAAGCTCTGCAGCAGATAAAGTGAAAACCGTGGAGATTCCATTGCATGTATACTAATTTAACCTTTTGGAAGGAAAAAAAAAAAAAAGAGAGGTATTATATGCAGGGTTCCTTCTGCTTCTGTACACACTATTTAACGTTAATGCAAATAAAACTGTGGCTGTGCTGATGACTTTGCTGGCCTAAAGGTCACCGTGGATTACAAATCGAGTCACCAGCAGAGAGTTGGGCACTTTGCAGAGACACATGGGAAAGCATGATTCCCACACACAGAGGTAGACAGGGCAGGCACTGGAGGCAAAGGGACGTGGGAAGTACAAAAGCAATGAAACTGAGGGCCCCTGTGAAAGTTACTGCTGCCCCATGAGTTTCTGCCCATCTGTTGAGCCAGAACAGATATTGTGTGGGCTCTGAGCCCACTGAGAGGTGAATTTAAGCCACTCTGCTGCCTTGTTGGCTTAAAACTTTTCCTTGGAGGGATTCAGTGCTTGTCTGCACTGGTATTAACAAGGAGAGTGATCCCAGCTGGACAGGGTGGAGAGACTGTATCATGTTATTGTCATTTATTGATTGTCTGATTTTACTGGAAAATGACTGGAAGTCAGCACTGGCTGAACAAGGGAGGGGAGAGCATAAGAGACAGGAGCACCCTGAAGCACTGGCAAGGCTGGCCCTTGTTTCTGTTTCTGGGTTCCTGGGTCAGCTCTGTGTGGACTCAGTTTCTGCCTGTCCACGACTCCACCAAACCCAAACACCTAAAAGTTGCGAGCCAGACTTCATGGGTTTTGAGAAAAGTGGAGAGAAAAATAACAAGGGATTTTCTTTTCTTTCCTTCTGTGGGATTGGGTGTTTTAAGAAAGCTTTTTGCCTTTATATGTAATCCCCCTTCATGAACACGAAATCTATAACATAATTCAAAGAGAGAAAGAAAGAAGACTTGGGAACTTTGCTGTGATGTAGTGTTTTCCTGACAGTTTGTGGGCTCCTTTACAAAATAAGCTGAACCCTAAACCACATTTTCCTTCACTTTTCAGTTGTAGGAAT